TAAATTATTAATAATATATTAATAAAAATACATAAATTTTTATATTTAATTACATTTAAATTTATAGTATATAATAGTTATATATTATTTATAGTATAATAGTTATATGAGATTTAAATTATTGAATTTATAGTATATAATAGTTATATATTATTTATAGTATAATAGTTATATGAAATTTAAATTATTGAATTTAATCCATTAGAATAAAAATTTAGTTTAAAATTTAAAAAAATAAATCTTCAATTTGTTAAATTAAATTTAAATACAAATATCATTAATAATAAAAATATTAATTTTCTTGAAGTAATATATTCATATGTAAATAGTATAATTAATAGATAAAATATACGTAATAATTCAATTATTTATATTAAATAGTTAAGTTTAAAAATTTTATTTTTTGATGACTAAATTCATTATTTATTCCAATTAATAATAGTAATTCTAAAATTCCTACACAAATTTGTCAGAGTTTATTTATGAGTATCTATTTGAATAAGAATAGGCGATAATACAATAGATAGGAAATTCATACATATGTACGTATGTACAGAACGATGCCTCGAGGTCAACTGCAAAGCCAGAGTACATTTGTTTAGTTTATAGAAGACAATCACACTCATACAACTCACATCATTCATCAATTTCAACTCTCCCCCTATCGATGACATTATTTTCGAGGATTAATTTATTCTAAATTAAAAATACGTACGCAGTCATCGTGCTTAATTTTTGGCAATGCTTTAGTTAATATATCCGCTAACATGTGTTCTGTTCTTAAGTAATTCACTTTTTTCTCACCCTTTTCCAGCAACTCACATGTATAATGGTAGCTTACGTCTATGTGTTTGCTACGTTTGTGGAAAACGGCATTTTTTTTAGTTCAGTGGCGCACTGATTGTCACAATACATTGTTACTGGAAAACCAACTGGTTTTTTAAAATCCATTTGATTCATTAATCTTTTACTCCTTTCGGTACGAGAGCCGGATATACCCGGCATCCATCTGATGACCTATGTGTACGA